TATTCTATTTTCTATTCTTATAAGCAATTCTTATTCAATTCTATTCTTATAAGCAATTCTTATTCAATTCTATTCTTATAAGCAATCATTATTCTATTCTATTCTTTAAGTGGCAAGATAAAGTTAGACTTGATTTAAACAAATCATTGATGTTTCATTAATTTACTGGGTTAAAAAAAAAACTTTATTTTCAAAAACATTCCTCCGAGAAAAACTTTTTTAAGTTCTGGGATTTTAAACAATTTTTTTTATTTACAGAAATTATAACAATACATAAGCTAATATGAAATCTGATTCTCAAACTTTTTTAAAATTATGTAAACAAGAAATTCGTTAAAGAAAACAAATTAATTAAAAAAATCTTTTTTTGCTACTAAGCATCTTAAAAAAAGAATTTTTTTTTAAAAATTTAAATATTCTAATAAAATATTTTCTAGGCAAAAAAAATGATATAATGAAAAATTCTCTATATAAATTTATAATACTTCTCAATTTTTATTTAAAATCTAAAAGATAACTGAAAAACAAACTAATAAAATAAATCATTAATATTATACGTAATCAATTAAAATTTTAGATATCAAAAACTTATTCACAATGTAATACAGTTATTATTGTTATATTGATAACTGTGACACTTCAAAAACTTTCGGATTTTTAAATTTATTTAACATTATAAATAAAAGCATTTTAATTCATTATTAGATAATTATTTTCTTATAATTTTTTATAATATATTGTAACGAAAATACAATGGGGAATGTTAATAATAAATTTTTAATACAAATTTAGTTATATTTAGTGTAAATTTTATTCGTACTAAACTATTATAGTTAGTATAAAAGAAATATTTAATTCAAATTTTTACAATCTAAAGCAAAAGAATCAGTAATATTATAACATAACATAAATTATAAAATAAAATAAATAAACAAAAATTTTTACTTGAAATTAGATTTCCACCATTATTAGCAAATGGGATAATTTAAGATAGTTTTTTGGTATGATGTTAGATCAGAAAAATTTGCATTTTAAATCAAAATTATAAGTGCATTAATCTAATTTTTCAATTATCAATGATACGACATGCAAATATCTTCGACGTTCAACATTGTTTAAAGGAAACAGAAAGTTAAACATGTGAGCTTACAATCACACTTATCTATCAAAACGCGTGGCAAACACAATGGAAAACACTTTCGTTTGCGAACCGAAACTATACAAGTTCTTGTTAGGAGTTGAGTTGTATACCTACTGGATGGATAGAATCTATGGATATTTCCAACATCCTCCACATCTTTGCAATTTTTTTTTATCGCACTTGAAAACAGCAAAAAATACACGAATTTCAGCTTCTAAGAAGGAAAGATTTTTGTCCAGCTCAATTGAATTGAATTCAAGTACAACTTAATAATTTCCAAGAACACTATTTTATTTTTCACATTTTTTTACACCATTTTGCATTTTGATCAATCTCAAATGAAGCAATTTTTAACGGTATTCCCAATGTAGCAATATCATCAGACATCATATTTATAAGAGATAGATTCATTAAAAGGCTGATTTTTTTTCCCATTAACAGATTTAAATTTCACATGTCCACCTGTTAGCGAAAATTTTTCCTAAGTTCTTCTTAGAAATTGAGTTGGACACCTGTTTCGATGGATGGAATCTATGGATATTTCTAACATCCTCCCACCTTTCCAAAATTTTTATGATACTTGAAAACAGCAAAAAATACACGAATTTAGCTTCTAAGAAGGAAAGAATGTTTATCGAGTTCCATTAATGATTTCAGGCACAACTGGTAACAATTTCTAAGAACACTATTTTTGTTTTCACATTTTTTTACACCATTTTGCATTTGCTCAATCTCAAATGAAGCAATTTTTTTAAGTATTAATGTAGCAATATCGTCAGACATCATACATAAGAGATAGATTCATTATAAAGGCTTGATTTTTTTTTCCCATTAACAGATTTAAATTTCATGTCCATGGGAAAATTTTTTAATTTTTAGAAATTTTACCTGCTTCGATTTTATGGATTTTTAACATTCCCATTTAATTTTTATATACTTGGCAAAAAATACCCGAATTCCTAAGAAGGAAAGAATTTTTATCGAGTTCCATTAATGATTTCAGGCACAACTGGTGTGTTTCTAAGAAAACTATTTTGTTTCTCACGATTTTTTACACCTTGGATTTGCTCAATCTCAAATGAAGCAATTTTTTTAAGTATGTAATGTACTCGCCTATACTAGACTTATAACGGCATGAAGAAGAGGGCTACTTTCAGGTTCATGGGAACACTTTAATTTTTATTTACTTTTATTTTTTATTTACATTTAATTTTTATATACATGGGAATTACCCTCATTCCTTAAAAATTATCTCATAACGAAGAAGAAACCGAACAGCCACGAAACTTTACAACATATTCAAATATATCTCATTTGATTATTAATCTACCTATTAGTTTATCTCATTTGACTATTAATCTACCTATTAGTTTATCTCATTTGAAAATTAATCTATCAGTTTATCTCATTTGATAATTAATCTATCTTTATCGCATTTGAATTATCGCAATTTTTGTTTTTAATTATATTTATATATATATATATATGCATTTACAAAAAAAAATTTAAGAATTAAATTAGAATAATTTAAAATTTCAGAAAAAAATCATGTTTTATAAATATGCTTTGCTCTCATTATATTGGCTGATAAGGTGTCTTTTCTTCAAACTTTACATAAGAATTAACAATTTATATTTAGAAAGACCTTTATGAAAACTTTCTTCCAATCCTTTCCTTTTTTTTAGTGTAGTAACCCTCTTTCTATGGATTACAGTAGTAATAGAAATGAATACAAATCAATTTGAGCTTTTTTTTCAATAAACGGAAAAAGAAGCAAATACCTTAGGTTGAAATATAGCGAAAAAACATGAAATACATATCATGAGCACTGAAAATTAGTCACTACAACATTTTCCTGAAGTTAAATATTTAGTATTTCATTTTTTTATACCAAAATAGTGCCACAATATATTATATTATTACATTCCCCATAGTTAAATATACATATTCAAACTAGAAACAGTCGAAAAGTATATTTACCCCTGGCATATCAAAATTTGAATAATCTTAATGAAATTATATTTAATCTAATCACATTTGGACATTAAATTCTTTAAAATTTGAACTTAAATAAATGCATTGTTATATAGTGCCAGTTGTAACTTAAAATTGACTAATTTTCTATTTAATTCTATTAAACTATTTGTAGTATTATTCTACTATTACGAGAAAAAAATGGAACACATTTATTAAAAATGAAGCAAATACCCTCATTCCATAAACATTAGCTCATTATGGATAAGCTACCGAACAGCCACGAAATTTTATAACATATACCAATATATCTCATTTGATTATTAATCTGTCTATTATTTTATCTCATTTGATTATTAATCTCCCTATTAATTTATCTCATTTGAATATTAATCTCCCTATTAGTTTAACTCATTTGATCATTAATCTAACAGTTTATATCATTTAATTAATAATCTATCCATTAGTTTATCTCATTTGAATAATTGATCTATCTATATGTCTATCTATTTTAATCTATTAATCTATCTATATGTCTATCCATTATAATCTATCTATCTATGTCTATCTATTAATCTATCTATTTGAATATTAATCTCATTTGAACATTAAATTCTTTAAAATTTGAAATTAAACATCGTTATATAATGAACACGTCGTTATAAATGAACACGTCGTTATTATAATGTCAGTTGTAACTTAAAAGTTACTTATTATATATTTAATTCTATTAAACTATTTGTAGTATTATTCTACTATTATGAGAAAAAATGGAACACATTTATTAAAAATGAAATAAATACCCTCATTCCATAAAAACAGCTCATCATAAAAAAGCAGTCGAACAGCTACGAAACTTTACTAAATATTCCAATAAAAATTTTCCAAGAATGATTTTCAAATGATTTATTTTTATTTCACTGTCCTTTCACATTTAATTCGAAAAGTTGTTCTTTACTTCTTTCTTTTCCATCGAAACTAAAGAATCAAATTGAATCTTCATAAATCTTTAATATTTCAATAATTTTCATTTTCAAATAAAACTTAATTGACTTCCTCTATTTTCTCTGCAATGAATGGCAACTAAATCAACTTTATTATATGCTTTCTTTCAAAATAGAATTTAAAAAAGATTCAATCCAGGGAAAAAAAACAATTAAATTAATTTCACGTTAAGGATAAATGCAGCATTTGATATCAGAATACCTTTTAAATTAAAAGTGTCACTTTAATTTTCGCCGTCATAAATTGAATTTAAAGATTGTATGATTTCAGAAGAGATAAATCTAAGCCGTACGTTTTAAATTAGCAAATTAAATTAAATAAATATTAAATAATAATTTGATGGCCAGAAAAAAATGCGTAGAAAACCTTTTAAAACTTTTTTTTTTCGCAACTTATCTGAAATTCAAGATGCCATTTTTTAATTTGTATAAAAAAATATAATTTTGTTTATTTTTTATCGCTATTTTTTCCTCATATTATCAAGTATCTGTAACTTAATTTAATGAAAATTAACTCATGATAATGGGAAAAATCATAATAATAGCTACAATATGATACACTTAATTTTTTTCAGCTATTTATTCGTAAATGTATTTTTAATTGCAGTAAAAATACGCGAAGCAAGCCTTTTTTATGATCATTAATTTTCATTTAAGTTCTTAAATTTGCTTTTTCTGTTATGTGCCAGAAATTTTTAGACATAAAAAACTCTTTCTTTTTATAATTAAAGGGGAAAGAATATTATCCATAAAAAATATTTTATCAAATAAAAAAAAAGTTAAAATAGGTGCATTTTTTAATACTTTATATTCGTGTAATGTCAGTCTGTAAGACTCAATTATAAATACATTTTAAATAGATTATATAGTTTACCAATAGCGGTAGCGTGGCCGAGCGGTCTAAGGCGCTGGTTTAAGGCACCAGTCTCTTCAAAAAGGCGTGGGTTCGAATCCCACCGCTGCCAAGGAAATTTTTTTAGGGGCCTGATGGCCGAATGGCTGGCGCTCTGGCGTTCGGTACCACAGGTATCGGGTTCAAATCCCGGCGTTGCCCATGGGTGTTGTAGTGTTCGGAATCCCTTTAAACCGTAGGTCCCGGTCCTAATAGGATCGTAGAGCGCTGCGGGGGCAGTGTTACTCCGCGTCCGTGGCTTACCATCCAGTTACACGCGCCCCTGGGTAATGCAAAGTGAGTAACATCGGCGCAGCCCTTATGGCGAAAGATCACGGTCTATTTGTCAGCTGCATTAGAAGAAAATACAAAAAAAGTTTACAAATATATTACATAGTTTATAAATATTTATTATTATCATTATATATAAATATAATCATGTGGTTCTTAATTTGCCTCAGTAAAAATATTTTCCGAAAACAGAAAAAAAAAAAAAATGAATTTGAAATGAAACACGAGAATGAAAATATATATGTAATATAAATATATTTATATTCATAACTATGTTCTTGTGATAATCCCACAAAAATTGAATGATGTCAAATCGGAGATCTGTGTCCAAAAAGTAAGACCAGTGTGCAATTTCAGTTTCCCGGCCATGTGGTATTTCAATTTTTTTTTTTTTTTTTAGGTTGTTGGTACTGTCCTTCACATTTGTATGCTATTTCATGTCAAAATATTCATTAGTGTTTGAGTTACGCCTGGCTTTGTGAGACGGTAAAACTGATTCCGGTGATTTTTTAAATGTCTGAACTAATTGAGCAAGACCTTGCATTAAATTTTTGTTTGCGGAAACTTATAGAATGTTGCAGAAGGCATTCGGTGAGCATTCCTAAAGAAAGAAATGTTTAGAAGTGGTAAAAAACAGTTCAAAGAAGGCAGAGAACGCGTTGAAGACGAAGAGCATTCTGGTCAACCACCGACCTCAACCGACGTAGCTCACGTCCAAAAAATTAAAGATTTATTGCTTACAAGCCGTCAATTTACAATTAGAGACCTTTCTGATAATGGTGGAATTTCCAAATTTCATTTTAAAAGATGTTTTGGGTCCCAAACGCGTCAAATCTTGATTGCTACCGAAAACACTGAATGCGCCAGCTCACATTGCATTGATTCTTCGTGACTTTTTTGCCAAAAATGAAACCCATATCCTTCCACAACCCCCGTATTCCCCTGATTTAGCACCGTGCTACTTCTGGCTATTCCCTAAACTCAAAAGACTACTCCGGGGACACCGTTTTGAGTCGATTGAAGAGAAATTTAAAAATTCGTCTGAATATGCTTTAGCGTCTCACAAAGCCAAGCGTAACTCAAGCCCTAATGAATATTTTGACGTGAAATTTTACACACATGTCAAGAACAGTGCCAAAGACCTAAAAAAGAAAAAAATATTGAAATACCATATGCCTGGGTAATTTAAATTGAAAACTGGTCTTACTTTTTGGACACAGTTGTAAATGGTTATCCCTACCAACCCAATCAGAAGAGGCTGAGAGCTTGTCGCAAATCTAAACTGTAATGGAGTGTGCTCCAGCTTGTTAATAAGACCTTGATATCGTTTACGAGTTAAATTTGTTTTTTTTTCCTTGCCACAAACAAGCAAATTGTCATTGCACTGAATAAATGCCATTCACCGAATGAATTTAGCATGCACAACTCTTCTGAACATAGTTTGCAGGTCAACTGTGAAAAAATTTTACACTTAAAAAATTCGGAAAATTACTGAGTACTTTACAACAAAACGTATAAGAATTTAACAATTACATTTTAGTTACAGATTTTTAAATGTGTCTAACCTTTTTCGGTAACTCAGTATAGTATATATATATATATATATATATATATATATACAGAAAAAAAATGGAGACTTTTCAGAAATTCACTTAAATTGCATAATAAACCTTAATCCCCTGTCAGTACAGTCCATGGTGGGCCAAGACAGATACTTTAGCCTTACTGGCAGATTTCGAGACAGGAGATTTTTTTATTACAGGGTAGAGTTGCCAGCCCTATGCCCAGTCATGCTCCGGTACTTACGCTTCAAAGTGGATTCCGAACCATTACAAACGTTAATAGCACCGCCGGGACTTGAGCACCCGAGACCTGTGCGCTAGTTACTCGGCCATCGGGCCCAAATTGCAAAATTATGTTAGGAAAAGTACATTGGCTATTCATACATTTCCATCTCTTTTCTAGTTGGACCCCAGAAGAAAAAAAAATTTGAAAATGAATCAATTCAAGATTTTCGAAATGCCAACAAGTTGAGGCAATAAAACTGAAAATCATTTAACATACTACTGTGCCCAAACAGTAAGAACAATTATTTTTAAAAAAAAAAAACTCTTTATTTATTCTTCCAATTTATTTCATCGCACTTCAAAGTAATCCCCTCCGGACGCAATGCACTTATGCCAACTTTTTTTTTCAATCCTCAATACATGCTAAAAAGTCATTGGCTGGGATAGTCTTCAAAGAGCGCCAAATCACGTAGAATCTCATCAATCGACTCAAACCGGTGTTCCTGTAGTGGTCTTTTGAGTTTAGGGAATAGCCAGAAGTCGCACGGTGTGAATACGGTGGTTGTGAAACGATATGGGTTTCATTTTTGGCAAAAAAGTCACGAAGAATCAATGCAGTATGAGCTGACGCATTAACGTGATACAAAACCCAAGAGTTGTCTTTCCATAAATGTGGCTTCTTTTCGCGAATAGCTTCACGATCTACAGTTTAAAGTGGATTCCGAAACACTCACAAACATCCATGCCACCACCAGGATTCGAACTTGAAGCCTGTGCTACTGTCGTGTTGATATAGGTGATAAGTAACTTCCTTTTTCTAACGACGCTGTAGCCACAGGATCTTCAGCTAACGCATTGACACCGGGAGTCGCGAACAAGGGGTGCCGCTCACACTGAAGAAGGATGAGCAACCTTTTTTTCTAACGATGCGGCAGCCAGGGGATCTTCTACTTAGTCGTAGTATACATTATTTATGCACACTGAGACTGCAATTTGCTTTATGTCTACGACTACCTACGACTTTACGGCTAGTTTTTAATGCAATTTATTCTTTGATATTTTTTTTCCCAATGCAGCTGGCAAACAGACATGGACGTCTTGGATGCCTTAAGGCAAGTGCTGCACAGACGTTACTCACTTTGCATTACCCAGGGGGCGCGTGTAACTTGAAGATAAGCCACGGACGCGGAGTAACAATGCCGCCGCAACGCTCTACGATCCTATTAGACCAGGACCTACGGTTTAAAGTGGATTCCGAACCACTACACACATCCATGGCACCGCCGGGGCTCGAACCCGAAACCTGTGGTACTGAGCGCCAGAACGCTAGCCAGTCGGCCATTCAGGTCCCTCTTTGATATTTAATTGCAGCAAAAAAATGGGAGGTAAATGAAAAAAAAGAAATATACAAAAACATATGAAATATTTATAAATATATATATCCCTCCATCCAAGAGTGTATTACTCATGGGGTGCCCGCCCCTCATTGAAGGACACCGAAGGTTATATACAACGACACTTTTATTATTTTTATAAAATAAAATACTGGAAAATTTATAAATAGACTTCATGAAAACACATTTTTGACTCTTTTACGTACGCAAATACATACAAGTCAAAAAACTCATTAAGAGGGACATTAAACGCTGAAATTCCAGAATTAGATAAAAGTTCATTGTCTTGATAAAAAATGTCAAATTCTGCAAAAAACGTCTGCTACGCAACATTATTGTTCCTTTTAAAAATACTTGAAATGAATAACAGTTATCTGTAAGCATTTTATGAGTTTTTAATATTTTGATGTCTGATTATTTCTGAGAATTTTTTATGTAATTGTAAAATAGACAACTGAATAATATCTGCTTTGAATTTTTTGAAAGAAAATAAGTAAAACAAATTACTATGAAAAGATAAAATAATATTTTATAACTAAGTTAAACTTTTTACTTTTTAAGTAAATAAGTTTTTAAGTTAACTTTTTACTTTTTAAGTTAAGTAAATAAGTTTTTTAAGTTAACTTTTTACTTTTTAAGTTAAGTAAATAAGTTTTTTAAGTTAACTTTTTAAGAAATAAACAAAAATATCATAATTTTACATTCATAACCGAAAATATTTTGATATATATATAATATTTTTTTAAACCAAATCATTTATTTATTTTCGAAAAAAAAATTTTTAAGTAAAATTGCAATTTGTTTAGCTGCAAGAAAGAGTTAATAAAAAATTTAAATTCTGCAATGCTGAAATATATGTATAAATAAATTAAATAATCAGTCGTACAAATCAAAATAATTACATTATTGCAATAATTAAAAAGCATATATTTTTGTATTCTGTAAATTGTTTTCCACATTTATTTTAAAACATTTTTATTTTTCCATTTTATTAAATTAAATATTTCCAATAAATTTGTCGATTTTATTCGATATATGGCAACTTTTGCATTTTGATATTATTTGATCAAATTTTGTATGTTTGTCAACAAATTTTTAGCCTCTCAAAAAATCAATCATTTTAAAATCAATTTTTTTTCCCCTTTTTGTGCAGACTATGTTCAAGTTACAATAAATGCTTAAGGCTTACGGTTTTCATAAGCTTTTGAATCTATATATATTTTGCTTTTAATAAAATAAATATTAAAATTTGTAACCGTGCCTACACACTGGCAAGAGCGCCCCTTTGGCGTTCAGCAGAAATGATGAGTAGGTTTCGAGACTCTCACCTGAGAGGAAGTACAGCACAATCACGCCCTTCTGTTGAGAAACTTTTAGCTCACCCCGAAAGGAAATATATTTAACGCAACCTTGCGTATTAATAAACCTACAGATTCCCCGGAGAGGAAGTATCTTCAGCATCCCCTGAGCGTACCGGAGTATCTTATTTTCGGCTTAGAAGTGGTTATTTTCGCTTAGTTAATTTTTCAATCTAGCAGCATAAAAAATACAAATTTTTTGTTGCTATCGTTACGGTGCAAGTATGTAATAAAACATTCTTC